TTATATTTATATTTATATACTCGCACCATTATCGACGGACACTGCCAAAAAAATGGCTTAACGCGACGTCATGTATTTATGTAAGGAACGTGTGCATTAGCGCAAGCAAGACTGTTGCCGTGTCGATGATGATGTATACATGTATTATATAATATTAATTATTTGTTACATATTTATTGCCTAATGTCGTGGCCTTGCTGTAAATGATCATTCCGCACAAATAAAACATAGAAACTGATAGAGTGCAAGGAGCTAAATATATGATACCTATATACAATGAGTGTAATTGTAGGAATAACCAGTGTCACACACTCAATACGTACATACTCCTAATAGAGCCACTAATAGAGATACGTAGTATTTACAATATTTTTACGAGACGTATATAACATACGTACGTTTACAACGATAAAATAAGTCTCTTCAAATGAGTTTTTTTTAAATAACTATGGAAACTAAAGAGACTATTCTGTGTAAGGATGATTGTATCTCCGTAATATTGCAAGACCTATACGTAAGGAAAAGCGAGTCCTGTTTTTAATAAATTAGTATCGGCTTTTAAATTATACAGCAAAAATATCAAAAAACATCATCTATATATAAGTGCACTACGGCTGAATTGGCTCTGATCGCCTATAGAACACGATTACAGCCACCAATCACGCTATCTAGCAACACAAGAAAAACACTTATAGTTACAATTCTGTTTTACTTGTTATCAATATAAAACTACATATGGCACGTAAGCAAGTTATGTTTACACATGTTTAAATGTTAATTACGAATACAAATTGCCACATTGCATAAAGCTGTACATGCTATGCAGATTTCTGCGATCAATGTCATAGAGATGGTGTCCAATGGGCCGTGACAAGATCATGGCTTTGTTCTGTGTCGGACAATCATAATTATCTGCATCCACGCATGCAGGCACCATGTATTCCTTTAACTCGTTGTCGTTGCTCGTTGGCTTATTAGATGTTTGACGCGAATTACTTAACAACAATGTTTCCCCGTGCCTGCTGCGGGCTATTCCTTAGGCATTGGCGGGACACAAAGCAACAGTCTCGCTAATTTGCGTTCGCCGCCATTGTGTAAACTTTCTCCGACAGTTGTCGACTATTGTCGGTGGAGCAGGAATGACTCTAGGGTCGCCTCGTGTGGCGCGTGTCTACTGTCGTCTGCGCGTGACAGGAGGAAGAGTCTTGGGGATTTACACTGGGAGTGGGAGTCCCCGTTTTCACGCTATAATCGGGATCGCGTGCGGTGTGTGTGTGTGTGTGTGTGTGTGTGTGTGTGTGTGTTGCGTGTGTGGTGTGTCTGCGTGTGTGTGGCGTGTGTGTGCGTTGTGTGTGTGCGTGCGTGTGTGTGCGTGGTATATATGTATACTATATATGTGTGGTGTTGTGTGTGTGCCTATCGTGTGTTGTGTGTGTGCTGTGTGTGTGTGTGTGTGGATTTGGTGGTGCGTGGCGTGCGTGTGTGGTGTGGTTGTGCGTGCCCGCGTGCGTGAGCGTGGTGTGTCGTAGGTGTCGTGTCGTGTGTGTGGTGTGTGTGTGTGTGTGTGTGTGTGTGTGTGTGTGTGTGTGTTGTGTGTGTTGTGTGTGTGTTGTGTGTTGTGTGTGTGTGTGGTGTGTTTGTGTGTGGTGTGTGTGTGTGTGCTGTGTAGTGTGTGTGGTGTGTGTTGTGTGTGTGTGTTTGTGTGTGTGTGTTGGAGCCCCGGTGCATCTTGTGGGGCCTACGCGCTTGTTAGTGGAGGGCGGCGTGCTTGCTTGCGTGTGTCG